GAGAGAGAGAGAGAGAGAGAGAGAGAGAGAGAGAGAGAGAGAGAGAGCCAGCGAGTGACACGGAGAAGTGCGGCGAGGGGAAGAGCCGGGAAAACCGAGTAGCTCCAGGCTCATTTGAATCCGACGCTCGATAATGTCCCTCGAGAGCACCGAAATATCTCGGCGCACGTACACGTAGGTACAATATTGTAACGCGCTACGACGGTCCCCGATGACATTTTCCGCGGCGATGTCGTTCGTCAATGCCACGCAATAAAATTCGCCGTTGTACGGAGAGAAAAGAACCGCGCCTCGGAAACCGCGAGGCAAAAGACGCGAGATGTTTGATCGATCGGAACGCCGCCGTAGAATGGATGCACGCCGCGGTATTCTCTTTCATCTGTTTTGAACAGATTGACGGGCTTTGCACGAACGAAGGAAAAGAATGAATAATAACGGGTACACTCGTAATAGAGAATTAGTAAAATCGATCGAGGAGTCCGCAAAATGTACAATTAAAAATAACAAACACGAATCTAACGGCGCGACAAATATATTGCTAGGGTATCATCATTATTTCATAAGAAAGGTGAAGAAGGGTTTAAAGGTCACTCGAGTTCCTTCGCCCGTAGATTTCGCTTCTAAAGTGAATTCAACGAACCCTCGTTGAAGGGTGGATATGGACTCAAGCATGCATGCACCGAACGCCATTTTTCTTTCTAAAGGACGCTCGAAGTTTCGATCTTCAACTTGTCGCAAGGTGTACTTTAATTTAATTTAATAGTGTCCGCATTATACGGTATGTATGAGGGAAAATACATAATTCAAGCTACGATACATACATACATATAAACGCGTAAAAGGGACGGTGCAGCCGACACTGCGTTATCGAACCTAACGCTGGATCTCGCGGGGGTCTGATACCGCGTTCGCGACCCTGAAACACCTGCTACTTGGGAATGGACAGTTGGTGTAGCATACGTCGAAGCATCATTGGTAATCGAGAAAAGAATTCTCGCCAAGTTGAGGGTGGAATACGTAAATTTGGAAATAATCACGACCATCAACATTCGATTCGATTCGGTGTTACCGAGGAGAAGTCGCGGGCAAGAAGCAACACTCGACCGAAGGGTGGGTTGGATTTTCCTGTCAGGGGGTAGAGTTTAGAGGTCGGGAAATTAGTTTAGTTATGCGCCCGGCAGGGACGTCTCCTGCGTCTCTAGGATGAACGTAAGTCGGCGACGGAGCACGTACTTAGACGTTTCAACGTTCTGACTTTCCGCCCTCACTCCTCTTTAACTTCCTCTAGACTTCCTCTTTTTCCCTATTTATCTACCCAGCGACTCGTCCGTGCTTTTTCTGAATCTCGAAGGTACCGATGTCCTCGGGCCGTCGGAGAAGCGGCTCTCCCTGTGCCGCGAGAAAAAAGGTCGACGCCGAAGTGAATTTACCGAGTAACTAAGGACGGAACGGTCGCTGGACCATGATAGAAATCGGCATTCGCGAATTACCGGGGTCACTTTGTGCCCCGTGCTAGGAGATCGACGGAATTTCTAACCCTTACCTGGGAGTCTTCCTCGGTAAATATCGCGTCGAAGGCAAACATTTTCGGCGCTGCCACGGTTGGCCTTCGATCTTCCGCCGAAGGGGACTGTCCAGACGTCGGATTCACCAGCGTCACTTGCTTCTTTCTTTTGTCGGCGTTGAAGAAGCTGCCTCCTTCCCCCGGGGACACTTTCAACATCACTTTCACCTGGAAATTCAAGATTAAACATTTCTTAGTATCCACTCTTTCGAAGGATGAGCAAGCTCGCGAGAAATGATTGCACTCCAAGTGCTTCAAAAATATATTTTCCAGGAATTGCATCTTATTTTTGTGTGCCTGTGCGATGACTAAAAAGTTATCTCGACATCTAACTATTTTTCCCGACGCGAATTGGTCACAAACGGGCAAATATAGATCGGTATTCTCAGGCGCCTAACGAGGTGGTTGAAATTGCTCCGCGTTACATAATAGATGGAATTTTTCCTCGATGCAACAATGATCAGATCAGAGTTATCCGGACAGTTTTGGTCAGAAAATAGACGGAGGGTTTGAATTAACGATGACTTAACGAGTTTGATAGTAATTAATAGACCTCGATCTTTGTCTTCAAAAATATACTGGTATACAAATAACGTTATTAAACCGTACTGTATTAGGTACTATTATTATACACACGTGTATACCGTACACGTATTTCGTCAAATCATGGGAGAAAGGCTGCCCGAACAAATTTTTTCTAATGTTATGAATATTACTATTTTCAATCAGTTTCTTTTGAGTGGCTTCGTGCGCAGATGGCCTAAGTGTTTCGATTCAAATTCACGGAGTTGACCGACCGACGGATTCAGTTCGTATCGATCTTGGACGTACAACAGCCGAATCGGGTAATTATACGCGTGTCAGGACGATGAGTGTCCTGTTCTGGTGCCACCCAGCACCAATTCTAATCGACTCTTAACGGTGTCCTGGGAACGCCGAGAAATTACTCGAGCGATTGCGAGTCGAACGTCGAGTGATTGTTACGTAACGTCTAGTTACGAATGTCAACGGAATTGCGGCAAGTTTGATGTCGTCGACTATTGTGTGGAAGAAGAAGGGCGGTTTGGTCTTGTCTGTCCTGATTAGAATTGGTGTGGTCTCTTTTAATACTTCGTAATATTACAACGCGTTAGGGGTGTAAGCCCTACACGCAAGCAAACGATAATGATAATATTTCGTTCGTCGCTTCGGGAGAGTACTCGGCGGGTCTACTTATTTATCAATGTTTCTGCTCGAGTCACCCCATGATCGAAGAAGCTAGAATCGAATTACCAACCGCGAAACAGGAAAAGGAACAACGAGCATCGCGGGTAGGAGGCCGAAGGATGCATCGACGAGTCGTTAAAACTGCATTCGTTGGTGGGAGATCGATGTTCCTCCCCCCAGGGGCGGTGGTGTACCAGCATCGAGTCGCGTCACGGCGTCCGTTCTACCTGGCTGTCCAGGAAATTGCGTTTCGAGATTTCGTTCAGATTGCGGTGCACGTTCCATCTTTTGCATACGGAACGGCCTCGACGCGACCAAGGCCACCGCGGTTGCGAAAAAGAGACGCTCCCCTTTTTCTTGGTTCAGCCCACCCAGCATTCAGATATACCTTTCTTTCTCGCTGGCGAACACGTCTCTGTACCTAGAGTAGTTTACCGTGAAAAGACCGAGTGCCAGCGATCGAGCGACCGGAAATAAAATAGCTCCTTTCCAGTCTTATTGAGAAAACTCTGCATATCGATTGGTCTCTCTCTCGCTTCTTCTTCTTATTTGGTTTCAACCACAGTCGAACCCCAGACACCACACACTGAAAGATACCGTGTCGAAGGTCCTCGTGCATTCTGCGAATTAATCCCCCAATCGTATTCGAATCGATATCTGAATATGATTAGTCTGCTAACTACTAAACTTCGTTTATTATTCTCAACTTACCCTGTGATAGAAACTAGGCTTGGGTGTTGACTAATACCGTGGTTGTTCGATTTCTTATGCACAAGTGGAATCATATCTCTCCCTATTTCGGTGGTCGAACACAGCGTTAGATTTATAGGAAGTCCTCTCAGCTGGCACACTCATTTACCTTCGTGATTTACTCCACCCTAATCTCCGATCTCAGCGTAATGACCTTCCTAGATTCTTCCTAGGCATGCTACCAGCTCGCGCCTATTCGCGGAGTCCCTAAATTTCACAGGTGCGTTTACTCTTCCGCCTCTCCTACGATCCTTTACCCGCCTCAATTGCGGCTACGATAGGAAAAGCGTTACAGATACAAGCGCGGAACTTCTTGCGAACAGATACAGCCTTTCCACGATCACCCGGTAAGGACGCGATTGTCTGGTGTTTCAACGCAGGTGGGTTCCGTTCGGCGTCAGGAGGCGTTGATACGACGCGGAAGTTTCTCGCTCTGAACGGGGGTCCGTCGGTGACAGCGGATACGGAAGCTCGCCGTTAATTTCTCAACGTCCAAACGGGAACGAGCCGGGCCGTGCCTCATACACGAGCTGTGCTGTCGTTTTCCGGACGGACGTTAAAGTGTAGAAATGTTTTATAGCTGCAGCGGGCATTATCCACCAATTTACGATCGCCCAGCTCCTCGGTCGCGTTCGTATCGGCGATGAACTCCCGCGAACTTCGATATAAATTCGCATTTGTCCATTTTTTATGGCACCCACGGCCCAGACGACGACGGCGACAAAGAAACGGTACGCTCTATTACGATCTTACATCGAGGTTCGAGAACGAAACGACGGATAAGCGCAAAAATTATGAAAGCTCGCGTGAGAGATACCGTTGTAATTCTGCGGGGAATGAAGATGATCGTGGCATAGGCGACGGGAGGAATTTTCTCATTCTGAAATTTGTATTACACAGCCGGCGGTATAATATACGGAGCAAACCTCGGGGACGCGAAGTCATCAAATACGGTATGAAAAACCAAAATAAATTAACTCCTTGTGACGTGTAACAGGTCGGGCATATTTTGTGCTAAACTGCACAATGGCGTGTTAGAAACTTCACGTGGTTGCAAGCCGGAACTGGGATCATAAATCTAGGAATTTCGAGATACACGATGAAAAATTAATAACGGTGGACTGAAAAAAAAAAACGTTAAATTAGCAGTGGGAGTAATGTAAAAGTATCAAATATCGTCGTGTTTTTGCTAGAATGTCTCGAGGATTTTGTTCTTCTATTTGATTCCAATTTGACATTATATTTGGTATTTACTAATGAGATTTAGTTAACGATCCTAACGAAACCGTGCAAATGCCGCGCGTGATAATGTACCCTATCGAGAAACGGGTCTCAATTCCCAAACGCGTTGCCGAAATTAATAACCGGAACGTTTGATGGCTGATATTATATTCACGATACGATATTCAAGATCGGAGCACCTGAGAATTAAACACACACAGCTCCGTTACAGTCGATCGGCTCGACACCAAATAACTAGAATTAATCGAAACGCGCCCCTCCGCCTTTATTCGCGACAAGAGAGTCGCATGGCAGCCTGTCGTGGCATTGGTTCCGTTATAAGAGACGAAGCAGCCCGCGGGGATTCAACTTCGACGACGAACGTCATCAAAGCGATTGCGAGACGACGACGTCGGTGTCTCTTTGCGCGGAGATTACTCGACGATCGGTGGATATAATCTAAATAATCGTCGTCTGGGGGGTGGAAATGTGATTCCTTCGCCGCAACCCCTTCGTTAAAACGGTAGTAACGTCATCGACGAACACCCCGAGGCGGTTCCCAAGTCGATCGACTAACCACCCCTCTGTCTTGCGCGACGACTTTATCCGACACGACTGATAAGAAACTTCCTCCAGGGCACGCGCTTTTCCAAGGATCCGCCTACGAACGACAGAAGCGTTGCAGGGTTTTTGGAGTCGTGGACAAACGGTCAATTGAATCGCGTTCAATTTAACAAGCCAAAGGTTGACGAATTCCGTGTAAGCCAGTTTCATAGCACGGTATTGTTTAAAAAGGCCCGTTTTGTGCGTTCAACGTACACGAACGCGATCGATTTCCCAGCGGTAATCAAATTCCCGGCTGCAGTTTTTTCCATTGCGCTCCCAATAAAGGATCGCCGCGTTTATGCGGATACTGTACCGCGAGAACTTCGAACTATTGCGTTTCGACTACTATTTATTGGATTTCTCTCGTGCGCGACAATTGTTGCTAATTTCCTTGCTTGGAGCTGCGAAAGCCACGAGTCGCGCGCCACTGAGCCGAGTAAACGCGCGTAAATTTTCACGAACGCGGATTCGCGAGATGGAAACCCGACGATAGTTCGGAGAACTCGTGGCTCAAGTGCGCAGTTACAGTTCAATAATAATTAGCCTAAATATCCAGCCGCCGGCGCGAACCCAAAGGGCTCGAAGCGCGGAAGTTTCTGATTTACTAGCCGCGGAATTAGAAACTTAACCCACATCTAACTTGAATCTACTTACAATCAAACGCTAAATCCGTTATTACGCGGTCCAAAACGCCGCGGAGATAGAGGATTTGATAGCGAGCGTTAGCGAGATACTACGACCCTTTGATTCGACGACTGGAAATTTATACGTTTTGCCTGTCCCAAGAGCTGCGCCACCCCTTGCAGCCGCTTGGGGGAAAGGTCGAACGGTTACCTATTCCACGTCTAGATGTATCTAAATACTCGGCCCCGGGCGAACGACGAAGGGTGAAAGACGACGAGCGCGCAGGAATTCCTACCATGGAAACCTCCGGGGCTATTCCAACAAAATTTACGTCCCGAAATGGGTCAGGGTTCGCCCCCCATCGCGAGGGCCGCGCTCGCCGACAAATCTGATTTTCGACCAGACGAGAAGAATGCAATTCCCCGACCAAGAGAGTCTTCGTCGTCGTTGGAGACCGTGACCTCCGCAAGCAAGTACGTACACGAAACGGATAGCGTTCCGTAAGTCCTCCGTAGCCTACCTTTTAGACGGCCGGATAACCGGGCAGAGGAAGCTACTAACTTCCTTTGTTCCCGCAAAATCAACCCTCCGTTCGCACCTCTTTCGCGTTCACCTTCAAACCCCTTCCGGTTCGTTCCTCGCCTCGTCGCCCCTGGGTCATAATGGAATCCCTCGTAGACTCTCAATTAAAAATGTTCCAGCGCGTACGCACGCGAGCCAAAACATCCGCGGTGGCGTTTCCGCCAGGTTCGGTATGTCGC